ACGCTCTTCAAAGAGTCTGCGGAGCAAGAGTTAACGCGAGGTCCCTTCTGCTGCTTTCTGGTCCTTAATGCGTCCTGACACTGCCTGCCGGTCGGGGGGGTTGGAAGCAGGGATGCCCAGTGCAGCCAGCCTAAGGGCAGGCGTGGGGTGGGACGGGACGGGGGGAGTGCCGTCGTGTTTGCCGATGTATTTGCTGAGCAAAAGCCTTGCCTGCGGGCATCGCGCTGCAGCCAGATAACGCCAGCTCCTCTCCCACAGCACTTGCAGGACCGCGTTTCAGGGCATGTTGTGCCAGTCGAGGCTTAATACATGTTCTTCTGCTCTGGTAGGTGTGTGACTGATGGCACTCTGCTTATCTAGGAAGTGCACAATGCCAGCTGTGGGCTTTATCTCGCCCTATGTTTGTGTCTGATTATTTCAAGTGTTTAGAAATAACCCAAGGATAAAAACCCAGCACCCACGTGGAGGGCTCTGAGCACCATCCAGGCGCAAGGGAAGGGCAGCCGGCCCTCGCGGGAGGGGGATTTCCTTCCCTCCTGGAGAGAAGCCCAGGGAAGATGACTGGGCAAGGTGGTGGTGGAGTCACGGACCAGCCTGGCCCCCACCTCCGCTGGCTGCACCCAGGCTTGCTTCAACTTCCCCTCTTGCTCTTCCCATGCTTGCCTTGGGGTGAGGCCACACCGCTCCCCCAGCCTCGCTGCCAGGCCTGAGCAGGGGTAGGCTAGCGCCGACGGTGGCTATGGCCGCTGCTCCCAAAGCTCTGCCGCACCTTGCCATGAGGGGTGGCATGTGCTGCGGCCACAGCCAGGCCAACGCTGGCCCCTCGCCTTGGCTCGGGCAGCGTGGATGCAGCCGGTCCCTCGGAGCTGAGCGCAGTTGGGCCTCGTGAGAGAGCTGAAAACAGCCGGCAGAGCTGCTGCTGAGCAGAGGAGTTCGCCTGTAACCTGGCAGGTGAGTGCCAAGGGCAGGGGCCGAGGCTGGGAGTGGAGCCTGGGGTGCCCATGAGACCACTGCCAGCTGTAGCGGGGTGAAGTGAGGGCAGCAGACGCTGCTCGGGGGTCTCCCGTCGCTCCCCCTGTCCTGCCCAGCCCCCATGCATCTCCTCTGGGGGCGGCGTGATGATGGGCAGCTGCATGGCCCCGCGCACGTGGTTGGGCAGCTTCTGCCCAGATGCCCCAGCATGGAGGCCTGCGCTGGTCTCTGCCCCCCTGAGATTAAGGCACCACATCCACCTCGATGGGCATGTACGTGACCCCCACTGCGCACACGTCTGCTGGTCCAATCCTGCGCAGACTGGACGTGGTTCAGCCCCATTAAAGCCAGCAGGATTGTGGAGAGGCAGAAGCTCCTGCAGGGCTCAGCCCTGAACTTTCGAGTAGCATCACCACCTGAAGTCTGCTCTGAGATCTGCGGCCACATCCGCGCAGCTGGGCCGAGCTCTCGGGCAGGAGTCTGTCACTGCGGACAGATCCGGGCCTGCCAAGATGCTTCAACCGGCAGCTATGAACTTGTACGGCTTGTGCTAAATGCAAAGTTGGAGTTCCCCCTCCTTCCCCCGTAACTCCGCAGCTTGTTCAGCTTCCAGAGGGCAAGACCACGTAGAGCCACGGGCATGCAGCACAGCTCTCTTGCGATGGATGTGTAAGTGTAGTATTTGTTCACGGCGACGGACTGCCGAGAACCACGTTCCAGCTGCAGCCTCGTAAGTATTGCACTCGGACTCACGCTCGTGCGTGGCCTGAGGGCCCGTGCAGGGGATCTGCATTGGCCTTTGCTGGGGTCTTCCCTTTCTGCTGCTTTGACCCAGTTGCTCAGTTTGTTTTCCCTAAAAGAGATCTGCAGGGGCGGTGGTCCCCTCAGCCTTTCCTTTCAGCTGGAGCCTGACTCCCACCTCTGCTTCACCAGCCCTGGGAAGGGCCGAGTCCTTCAGGCCTTGGCTGCAATGTCCCCTAACTGCTCCGTAGCACAGGCTGCTGCAGCCGCACCCAGGCCCGTGGCTCAGGGGTCTCTGGGTCCGTGCTGGAGAAACTGGAGCTGGCAACAGAGCAGAAGCAGCTGTGGTGGAAAAGCAGCACTGGGGCCGGGACTCGGGAGCCTGGCGACCCTGTTTCACTCCGTTCCCAGCTGCCCTGGCCTCAGCACGCATTTCCATGCAGGTGTGGTCTGCGGATGTGGTCCTGACAGCTGCTGGCCTCCAGCCCTGCCGCTGGCATGTCACACCCGACCGGTGACACCTTGAACATGCAGCTCTCTGCCGAGCAGAGTGCAATGGGTTAAGGCTCTTGCTTGCTGTAGCTGTAAATCTGAGTTCCCAGCCCCTGGTCTGGGCCAGTCCTTACTATAAACACATGCGCAGGAGGGAGCTGGCTGAGCGCTCGTTCTTAACGTGACCTTGCAGAGCTGTCAGATACCAGCTTCCTCCCCCCTGCCTTTCCCAGCCCTGACATTGGACCCAGGGCCCTGCAGGCAGGGAAGCTGGGGAGGGCCCTGGTGTGCGGCACAGGTTGCCAAAATCAAAGCAAGCAAGAAAACCACTTAGCACTTTAAGTCACAAGGAGAAAACCCTCCCAACACGATGATGCTAGCAGGCGGCGGTGAGCCCAGCCCCCAGGTTCAGCGCGATGCTGTTGCCATCAGTACTGCACCAGGGTAATTAAGGTGGTGCCTAAAGGTGGAGACTTTGGGTGCTAACGAGTTCCTCTTTGGCCACTGCAGAAATGATTCCTGCCCCGCTGGTACTTGCTGTCCTTTACCTTCGAAGCCGCCTCCTCGAACAAGTGGTCAGGAGATGTTACCAGCTCAACATCTGTGGCCCACAGGTGATTCCATACCTTTTATTTATTGATGCGTTTAATTAACACCTTTGACTCCACCAGCCTAGGCAGGGACGATTCATGCTAGAGCTCAGTTCATGGCATGAGCAGGAGTTTGTACCAGGTGCTTTCATAACCTGAGCAGCTCTCTGCACAGGCACCCGTGGTGAGCTGTTTGTGAGCATCGCTGCTGGGCAGCCCGGGGTCTCTGCAGGGATAGGGAGGTGGCGGGGTCCCCGGGCGGAAAGGACCAGGTGAGCAGCTGCCGCTGCTGGGTTTCCCCTTTCTCTTTTGGAGACCAGGGAAGCTGAACCCCTTAATTTGGTGCTGGGATCCAGGTGCTGATGGACAAAGAGCATCCCTGCTGCAGCCTGTCCCTTCGTGGAGCACAGAACAGGGAGCGCTATGCTGTCTGGGGGGTGTTTTGCGTGGGCACGTGGGCAGGGAGAGCAGTCGGCGCTGGGGCTGCAGAGACACGCGGGCCACGGTGCCATGCTAGATGTCGGCCAGGCTGATTTCCCGGTGCAGCAGGGGAGGGGGCCCAAGCCATGCAAGCCCTTGTGTGGATCCTGCCATGCCTGTGCCACGGGGCCCCGAGCTGCTCCCCACGGACACGACTGCCTGGGCTCGCGGGTTAGAAACGTCGAGCTGAGAGGAGCACCCGTGCAGCCGAGTCTGGCTTGCCGGGGTCCAGGTCTCGAGGAAGACCCGTGGTGGCTGTTGAAAACCTTTCTGCATGGTTCCTCCCTGCCAGGCACCAAATTCACCCGACTGAGCTGGGACTGACCAGCCCCGCGATGGGCTACGGGAGAAACCAGGCCCACGTCTGGGTGCTTCTCCGGCCGAAGAGGGTGTGAGCAGCTGGGTCCATCGCGCCTTGACCGACGCTGGTCGCAGGTACGGGAAGCTGCTGCTGTTTGCGTGGCCGGGCTCCAGAGGCCGTGGCCTCGGCAGGCGTGGGCAGGGAGTCGCCTGGGAAGCCGGCAGCTGCAGGCAGGGCGGGCAGCAGTCCAGCCCGCAGCAAGCTGGGAGCCGCCAAGACTGGGACGGTTCTGCCGTCTGACCTGGCGGTTCTCTTTGTTTGGGGAAGCCTTTTCCCGGTTGAGGAGCAGCTGGAGAGCAGCGCCCCGGGCCTGTCCGGAGGCAGGAAACGAGGCAGAGGGCAGCTGGAAACACCGGGGGGGCTGGGTTGCTGGTTTCCGCAGGAGCATCTCCTGGCCGCCAGCTCCGCAGACAGAGGCCTTGGCTGTAGCGAGGGCTGGGGAGCGGGGGGAGCGGCACAGCTGGAATTTAAGGTCATGTCCTGACCTTCCTCCCTCAGGCACCGACGTCCCACTTGCATCCATGGGACTCGAGCGCTTTGCTGGCCCGGGGCCAGGCTACTAGGCTGGCCCGAGCGCAGTGAGGCCTTTTCCTCATTGCAATGAGCACAAAGGCAGCTTATCCCAGTCCAAAACGCGATGGCCCGGCCCAGCCGACCCGAGTACTCGCTCCTGCCTAGCACCTGCTCCCATCGCTTGAGCACCCGGCGTGGGAGCAGCTTTCCTTTCTCCCCTCTCTGTAGGAGAAGTCGCTTGAATGGCGTCCAGGGGAGGTGGGACAAAGAAACCAGAGTTGTGTTGGGTTCTGGATAAGGCACTGGTTGTGGGTCCTGGGGTCGGAGACTATCGACCTCCATGGGGTGATGGGGCCAGTTTACTGGGGAAATGAAGCACGGTCTTCGACAGCAATCTTCCACCCCCCCGTTTGCATGCAACTTCTTTGCATGCGCCAGGCACCACATTTCTGCAAATATTTTTTTAAAATATTCTCTTAACTTTGTCTTGTGTATTGCTACAAGGGAGAAGAGAGGACTAAGAGCAGACCACCAGTACAGCGGGAACAGACAATTCAGGCCTGTGGCCTTCCCCGGTAGCGGGCTGCAGCTGGGTAAAAGGTTGGTGCGATGCAATTAGCTGTGCCGCTACCCACAGCCGCTGCGCCTAACGCTGTAAATAAAAAAAATCACAATGAAAACAAATGAAAGGGCTAAATACCATTTAACAGAACACCTAGGGAGGCAGCGCCGTGTCGCACAGGGCGGTAGTTTACACTTGTGGAAATGTGTCGGGAAACACGGCCCTTGGGTTGTGCTCTAACCACAGCACGGCCAGGGACCGGGATGTGCGATCCCAAGAGCAGCGTGTGCATGAGCGCATCGAGACAAGACCGAAATGCCAGGGAAGGAGCTGGGAAGGGGCCAAACCGAGGCGAGACAGGTTAGCTATTTGGCTGCTTGAACTTCTCAGCGTGGTGCAGGAGGGTTGCCCATTTGCAAGGTAATTCTGCATGTTGCCTCTTTAAAAGAGAGGTCACTTTTTCCATTACAAATGCACTCGGGATTTTCTGGAACCAATTGCTTACTTTAGGCGGGTGGAAAGAATTCCAATTTGCTGCTAGTTCTGTACCAGGAGCAGGAACGGAGCGAATTTAGGGGAGGCATGAATGGGGTTATTCTCTGTCTGCTGAGAGGGCCATTTGTACTCCCCAGCCTGCTGGAGACCCCGTTGCAGCTTGCTGTGTTGGGAGGCATCCCTCCAATAATTTAATGGTGGCTGTTAATCGCCCGTTGAGCCACAGTTGTGCCTGCAAGAGTCTGGTGATTTGTGCAAAACGCTCGTCTCGGCACAAAAGGAGCAGTGAGAACTTTTCAATGACGTGCGTCTCCCAGTAATGGAAACAGAGAGGAATTCAATTGTTGCTGCCTTTAGCAGAGTCCTACCCAGCAAAATGTTTGCTCCTGACCTGCAGGTGAGGGGGAAAGTAGTTGTCTTTTTTCACCTCCGCGGTAGTGAACCTCGGATGCACGCGAGCAGCTGTAAGAGAGGTCTGTTTTAATTTTTAATGCTAGTAAACGTTGACTGTACCGCCTTGCATCAGTGCCCCACTTCCACTCTGACTTCAGCCAGGCATTTTGCTGGCTGGGAAGAGGCAGAAGGACTCCAGCGAACTGCTAACAGGAAGCAGAGCTGGGTGCCGTGATTGAATAGGCACCAGATGATCTCCTTTGGAGGTCTGTCCACCCCTTCCAGCTGCGTGGAGGTGTCCCATGGAGACGGCTCCGGTCGTGGCCACCCAGGTCCTCGCCAACCACCCGAAACAAAGGGTCGGGGACCGTCGCGACCGGCCTGCTGAAGAAGGTGACATCCCTTTTGCAGGCGGAGGTGAAACGCTACCAGCACGTTGATTATTGGGCAGCCTAATTCCTGCCTCCCGGCTGCTCCAGCTAATATCACTGAAAATGTTATCTTGCTGCCTGCAGCCTCTGTTTTCTAGTAGCGGGTGGATTTGCAGGTTTTGCCATCTCGGAGCACGGCTATTATCTGTTTGCATCCACCAGCACGGAGGAGGATTAATATTGCTTCTGTCACTTGAAACCTTTGTGCTCGTAGCAGCTGAACCTGTGACCCTCAGCAGGCTGGCACGGTGACACGCGCGTCTCGGGAAGTACACCGTGTATTGGATGGTCAGATAAAGCTATTTTGGGCCCACCGATGATGTATAAGAGCTTCCTTCTCCTGGCATTGCATCCTTTGAATCCCAGAGCTGTTGAACAGGGCTGCCTTGAGGCCTTATTTCGATCTTTATTTTTAACTGGGCCTGACGTGCATTTTAACATCTCAACCTCCTCTAAAAGAGTTGGAGTAAATAAGCGTTTCACTCTTCAGTACAGGAAAAGTGTGCTGAGGCTTGTGTCGGGGGGAATAACAGCTTGGTGTGACCCTGGGAGTTGCACGTACTGCTCACTTCAGACATGGGGTTGGTCTTTCTAGGTGGCTGGGTGCGGTGGGGCACGCTGCCCACCTGAGCCAGGTAGGGGTAAATGAGCTGCAGGGCCCCAGTTAAGGAGGCTGCACCTGTGCTCCAGTCTGACCCGGGGAGTTGCAACGACTGGGAGCAGAGCTCAGCTGGGGCTGATCTGGTGTGGGGAGGAGAGTGGGGCCGGGGGGACCCGGAAGCTGGTCTGTTGGCCCTCCCTGCAGGGCAGGAGGCCTGGCCCCTGGGAAACACTGGATCTATTACCAGAACCCACTGGTTGGCCTTGGGCCCTATGGCCGCAGCTTGCAGAGGCAGGGGCAGAGCCCAGCAGGCTGTAGGGTGAGCTGTGACTTGGAGAGGGAGGGTGATAGATGGGCTGAAGTGGGCTGAGAACCTGCTGGGGAAACTGAGGCAGGCCAGCTGCCGGGCTGGCCTGGGCTGGGCTGGGCTGTGAGCGGATGCCCCTGAGAAACACCGAGCGTTTGACTGCGTAGAGCGGGCACAAGGTGCTCTTCTGCAGGAGCTTGGGTTGGGTTTAGTTGCCCTGGGGGAAGCGGAGCGGATCTCATGAGGGGTCTTGAACCGGGTTGTGAGACCTGGCTCCATTGTCCAGAGGCAGACGGGACACGGGCCGTCGTGGCTGCGGCTTGTAGGACGGTGCCACGAGAGGCGCTGAGGAAGGTGAGAGGCGGTAGCCACAGCTGCACGGTGGTACGCAGTGCACCAGTGACAGTACACAGTACACAGTGACAGCGCCGGGCATCTCGGGGGGCGCTTTGCCACCCTCCTGGGTGGCTTCAGAGAGCCTCGGGCCGCAGGACTGGGCTCCGCGTGGTGTGCGAAGGGCTGCATGGTACATGCTGTTCTGTCTACCTCCCGTGCGCTCAGCTGGTTCTGGTTTATTTGTGGGATGCTTTGCAAAGTCACCAATTGAGAAGAGGAACTCGTGGCTGATTTGCGGTTAGAGCAGTTGACATTTCTATGTATCACTAAATCATAATTGCTAGGTCAGAAGTAATTGAGCATTAAAAATAAAATAGGCACGTTGGTTACTCTGATAAACATCTTTATTTGCATGGCTGATAGCTTCCGCCGAGATGGATGCGATACGAATGCTGGATTCCTGGGCTACGTACAAAGGTCAGGGAACGTTAAAATTGTTTTTTGGGCAGTTGCTTATTGGCGTTCGAGGCTTGAACAGCTCTTGTTTTATCGTCGCTCTCAAGTCTCTGGTATGTGACTGTTCCTATCTATGCGTGGAATTACTGAAGTTTGAACTATTTCCCAGATTCTTATGTGCAAAGCTCCTCAAACAGGCACGGGCATTCGTGTTGCAGAGGAGTTTAGGTAAAGCCTTTGTACTAGCAGCTATAGGGGAAACCCTGGCTGCCTCCTATGTACAAGAGTTGGTTCAAATGTCCAGAGTAGCATTAATGGAAATATGTCAGTCTGGGAAGGAAGCAATACCATGGGAAGAACAGTGGCCATGCTCCTTGTCACGGCTTAGCCGGGCCTTTTGCTGGATTGCCTCCAAGCTGTGTGCAGACTCTTAGGAGAGCCCAGGACTCGTTGTTGGAAGCTCGGGTGCCTTGGTCAGCCGTGAGTCTGATTACACGGCTACACAGAAAGGCGTGTGCCCGCTTGTGCTTGTTGTGCGTTGCTGTCTGTCTGCGTGGCTTATGCACCCCTGCAAACCGGTGCACCATGCCCCCGGTCCTGACCGCGACGGCTCATTTTTATGCACTTTCAGGATTACAGATCAGTGTTCCCCCTTTCTCTCTCCTACCTGCTGAGCAAAATCCCCGTGGCGTTTGAAAGGGAGCGGTGTTTCCTACTCCTTACAGTTCTGGCAAATAGAAGCACTTAGAAGCTGGGAAATAGTCTCTCCTGCAGTGAAACGACTACACACCAGTCTTTGGCCCTGAGCTACAGCAGTCTCCTAAAGAAACAAACAAAAGGCTTTCCCGCACCAAGCATCAGTGAGCACATTTTATCAAAGCTTCAGTCTTGGGCACATGGCACCCGTAATAAATAAACCAACGTGTTATGCAGCGCGGGAAGACTACGGCTGGAAGAGTGCACTGAACAGGAAAAGCTAAATATATGGTCCTGATCACCATAATTACTTCATCATAACTTTTCTCATCATATCATTGGGAACTTGCCAACTTCTTGAAGAGAGAGATGTAACTTACTCTAATTAGAATGGGATGTCTGCTAACGAACTGCCTGTGCTTTGAAATAAATAGAAGCATTGCTGCGGAGGCACAGGAAACCTTGGAGTGACTTTTGGGTGAAATGCGCTTTGTTGGTTAAACAAAGGTACTTGTAACAAACACCCACACATCTCCTCCTGTTCCTGTTGGCCACTTGCTAAATAGGTTTATATAAACCGACGTGCTTTTCCTTTCAGTTGTTTTACTAAGACCTCGTGCCAACGTTTGCAGTGTTCGGTGACTTCTGTACGGTCTGTTTATCCAAACGCTTATATGGCCCTTGTCAGGGCAGAAAGCCACTGCCTGGGCTCTGGTACAGTAGCTCCTGTGTGGGTCTTGGCTCTACTGCCCAGCTAAACCTGCTTGCTAAATGTGAGAGGGGAGTCTTGGAGCAGCCCCACCTGGCTCTGCTGGGAAGCAGCATGAGCCTGGGCACAACTTTCCCACTGATGGTGACGGGTTAGCTGCCATGCAACGCTCCCCTGCGCAGCAGCCCCAGGGCACGTGCACCCCCAGGGGAGAGACCCAGGTCTCCTGGCTAGCCCCGACCCACTGACACATGGCCTGGGTGGCTTGTTTTTATGGCATGTGCGGTCCCCGAGGGTTTTGCTGCTGCTGCTTGTGTGGCAGAGGCGTTGATGCTCCTCGGATGTGGCCAGGACCCCGCTGCGCCGGGCATGGTGTGTACCTGCAGCAAGAAGGCAGCTACTCTCCCATGCAGCCCGCCATCTAGGACAGCACCAGGACGGGAGGGAGCCTTCTCCCTGCGAGACCCAGCGAGAGACTGAAGTTGCTTGTTGCAGATCGCATAGAGGTTTGAGGCTGAATTGAGACATGAACCCGGCTGTCCCAAGTCCCGCGAGACC